ATCGGCAGAAAGCCTATGAAGCCTAGATTCTAAAAATATAATATCCTGACTGTGACAAATTCTAGTTTCTGCTGCAGAGGCCTTGAAATTCAATAGAACGCAAGGTTCGAAACCGCATAATATTAACTTTCACGTCTTTTTCGATTATGCACCTGGAATAACCTGCATTATATCTTCATGAACTGTCTTTTGATGCACGACTAAGGCATTGACAGAAAGGCTATGAACCGTAGATTCTAACAATATAAATTCCAGATCGTTAAAAGTTCTAGTTTCCGCTGCAGAGGCCTTGAAATTCAATAGAACGCAAGGTTCGAAACCGCATAATATAAACTTTCACATCTTTTTCGATTATGCACGTGTAATAACCTGCTTTGTATCTTCATGGACTGTCTATTGATGCGCGAGTAAGGCATCGACAGAAAGCCTATGGATCGTAGATTCTAAAAATACAATTTTCAGACCGGCGTAAATTCGCATTTCCGCTACAGGGACCTTGAAATTCAATAGAACAATACATCATATTCGAAACAGCCAAACCCTAACCCTCACTTATAAAATATTAACTTTCACGTCTTTTTCGATTACAAAGCTGGGAAAAACTGCTTTTTTTCTCCCTTTCTGGCCTAGTGATGCACAAGTGAGGCATCGACAGAAAGTTTATCGATCGTAGATTCCAAAAATAATATTTTCAGGTCAGCCCAAATTCGTGCCTGTGCTACAAGTGCCTTGAAATTCGATAGAACATCAGGTTCGAAACCGCATAATATTAACTTTCACGTCTTTTCGATTACGCACCTGGAATAACCTGCTTTGTATCTTCATGAACTGTCTTTTGATGCACGAGTAAGGCATCGGCAGAAAGCCTATGAAGCCTAGATTCTAAAAATATAATATCCAGACCGTGAAAAATTCTAGTTTCTGCTGCAGAGGCCTTGAAATTTAATAGAACGCAAGGTTCGAAACCGCATAATATTAACTTTCACGTCTTTTTCGATTATGTACCTGGAATAACCTGCTTTGTATCTTCATGGACTGTTTTTTGATGCGCGAATAAGGCATCGGCAGAAAGCCTATGAAGCCTAGATTCTAAAAATATAATATCCTGACCGTGACAAATTCTAGTTTCTGCTGCAGAGGCCTTGAAATTCAATAGAATGCAAGGTTCGAAACCGCATAATATTAACTTTCACGTCTTTTTCGATTATGTACCTGGAATAACCTGCTTTGTATCTTCATGGACTGTCTTTTGATGCGCGAGTAAGGCATCGACAGAAAGCCTATCGACCATACATTCTAAAAATACAATTTTCAGACCGGCGTAAATTCACGTTCCCACTACAGGGACTTTGAAATTCAATAGAACATTCGATTCGAGACAGCCAAACCCTAACCCTCACTTATATAATATTAACTTTCATGTCCTTTGCGATTACACAGCTGGAAAAAACTGCTTTTTATCTCCACTTCCGGCCTATTGATGCACGAATGAGGCATCGACAGAAAGATTATGGATCGTAGATTCCCAAAATACAATTCTTGGGTTGGCCCATATTCGAGTCTCTGCTACAAGGGCCTTGAAACTCGAAAGAACATCAGGTTCGAAACCGCATAATATTAAATTTCACGTCTTTTTCGATTTTGCACCTGGAATAACCTGCTTTGTATCTTGATAGACTGTCTTTTGATGTACGAGTAAGGCATCGACAGAGAGCCTATGGACCGTAGATTCTAAATATACACTCTTCAGACGGGCGTAAATTCACGTTTCCGCTACAGGGACCTTGAAATTCAATAGAGCATCAGTTTCGAAACTGGCAAACCCTAACCCTCACTTATATAATATTAACTTTCACGTGATTTTCGATTACACAGCAGGAAAAAAACTGCTTTTTATCTCCACGTCCGGCCTAGTGGTGCACGAATGAGGTATCGAGAGAACGCTGATGGATAGTAGATTCCAAAATTACAATTTTCGCGTTGGCCCAAATTCGAGTCTCGGCTACAAGGGCCTTGAAACTCGATAGAACATCAGGTTCGAAACCTGCTTTGTATCGTCATGGACTGTCTTTTGATGCACGAGTAAGGCATCGGCAGAAAGCCTATGGACCGTACATTCTAGAAATACAATTTCCAGACCGTGACAAATTTTCAAGTTTCTGCTACAGGAGCCTTGAAATTCAATAGACTGACGCAAGGTTCGAAACAGCATAATATTAACTTTCGCGTCCTTTTCGATTACACCGGCAGCTGTGGAAAAACTGCTTTTTATGTCCACGGACGTCTGGTGAAGCACGAATAAGGCATCGACAGAAAGCCTATGGACCGGAGATTCTAAAAATACTATTTTTAGACTGGCGTAAATTCACGTTTCGGCTACATGTACCTTGAAATTCAATAGAACATCAGGTTCGAAACAGCCCTAACCCTAACCCTATCTTATTTAATATTAACTTTCACGTCTTTTTTTACATAAACATATTTATTTAGACACATTTTCTCCAAGAGCTCATAGCTCTTCGTGGGAGATTATGTGAATATATTTACAATGTTTTTGAAATTTAGCAAAGTAAGAAAGAGATAAATAGATATAGAAGGAAATGGAAAGAAAAGAAAAGCATCGTCAATTAATCTTTAATCGTTAAGAGAATCGATTAGAATTAAGTATAAATAATTGAACAATTCTAAATAATATTACGTGTTTGTCATAGCTAAGTAAGTCAGAACCATGCAGAAATATTTGAACTTTCCGTTTGTCTGAAAACCTGAACCATGCGTCATTGAACAACCTTGCAGTTGAGGCAGAGAGAACAGCGCGCTGGACGCCGTATTGAGTAGTTGAGGCAGAGAGAAAAGCGCGCTGAACGGCGTATTGAGTACAATAAAGAAAAAAATGTGTAATGGTTTCTGATTTTCCCCAACAGTAGTCACAAAAAAGAGAAGGTTTGCAATCAATTTTATATAGATAAAAGTTGAGCTGGCAGTGCCTAAGCGCAACCTTGTGTGAAGTATGGAACTCTGACGGTTAAGAGAAATATTAAACAATTTATTATAACCGGATCTACAGTATGTGTTACGCAGTCTATTCTTGAAACTAGAAAGTGGAGTAGCATTTCGTAACTCAGTATCTAATCTATTCCAAAAAGCTACCGTAGACGGGAAAAAAAGATTGTTTGAAACGTTTTGTACGGGTAGGAATAGGTGTGAAATTGTCATTTGACCTCAAAGAATATCTACTAACATGTTTATTAAGTTAATTTATATACAATAAATTAACATATATTGCGCGTAAGGTATGGTGGCGTGCATCCAAATCTGGCGACCTTTTTTTTTAAATTTTTTTTTCACCTCGTCTATTTACCTGTCGCATAGCTAGCTATATGCATTGGCAAGATGAATTTAGATGCAGTTCAATGATTTGGGGAAAATTTACTGTAATTGTGGTAGTTTTGATTTTCTGCTTATGAAAACATTCTAGAACCAGTCTCCGAAATGCGCGCAATTTTTGAACGAACAGTATACTATAGTACCATAGATATAGGAGACCTATATCTATGGTCTCCTATATCTATGTATAGTACAGCCCGGCTGGCAGCCGAGCAATCAGAGACAAAATTTCCGGCTGTCAGACGGCGTCAAACGCGCTAATCGGGTGAAGGGGTAACTGAGGCGGTTGTCAGAATTTTGAAAGATTTTGCATACGGCTATTCTTTAAGTGACGTAATTTTCATTGCTCTTTGTGCATAAGGGGAAAGAAGGAAGGAAGGTGCGGGGGGAGGTGCTATTTTCGAGGGGGGGGGGGGGGG